CAGGAGGAAGAGAACAGAGGCGATGGCCTAAATCAAGCATGTCAAACGCAAAGGCTAACATGGGGCAAATAAATGAGGCATGTGGCCCGTGGGCCACGAGTTTGACATGGTTGGCCTAAATATTTGAGGCAAAACTTTTTCCTGAAATAGCCAAATTATTTGAGTCGAAATAATACCTTACCCTAAAAAAGTCACCAATTTTGGTACTATTTCCTTGAGGTACATATCCCTATATGCCACAGAAAAAGCCTTTGCTAAGAAAATTAATGACATAAACATGATTATAAGACCAGTATTTAAACTAATGAAGAAAACAACTACTTAAAAACTATTTTGGTACTTGGCATCCATTTCCATGTAATCAGTTGACCTACACTAGGGTGTAGAGTTAGATTTCTGAATTAATTTTGGGGGCTTGGCCTGCACACTGGATACAGACCTTCATGAAGTCAATGAAAGGGGAGCTGGAGAAACATACCAATCAGATGCCAAGCCCCTGACAGAGGTCTGGCGGAATTAGACCAGTCATCCTGAAAGAATGAAAAATTGACAAGAATGATGATGTCACAGGTGACTCAATGAGGGGGATTTAAATAGCAAAGAATTAAGAAAACGTCTTGGAAGAAAGCCCTCTATATAATCTTGCTGAGAAAATCAGGCACAAAGGCCATCATACAGTTTGTCAGAAAAATTATGCCCTCAAAAAAGTCACACTTGTTTCATTCTGAAAAATTTTTATAAGAATTACCATATAATTATAGCCTGTTTCATAAAATATAAGACAACTTTCTTTTCATAGTTTTCTCTTTTGTTTTTCACAATGAAGTCCCACTCAAACCTCTCTTCACATAAAATTTTGGACTCCATTTTAAGGAACAAATGTTAAGAGTATTTTTCAGGTACTGATTGTCCTCAGATAAAGAGGAACCACTGTCAACATCTCAGTTCTCTCTCCACCTTCCAGCCCTCCCCCATTCTCTCTCTCTCTCTCCCTCTCTCCAGGGTTCATGTGCATGTGTGAGTGTAAACACACGTGACTTGCCTCTAAATCTGGGGACTAAAAGCCAAGAGGATGTGATTCTGATCTCCCTGGCCCACCCCACAAATATATAAATATACATCAACGTTCCTTTTAGAGTAATCCATGACAGCAGCAACGCTCAATCTTTTTTTTCCATTGAAACACACATGATGAGCTGCTGATATAGCTCAGTTGGGAGCGTGTAAGAGTGAAGATCAAATACACATGATGGATGATGTCCGTATTCAAGGTTTTCTCCCATGAGCAACCCAAGTTGATATGCAAATCCTGCCACTACATGCAATTCCTTCCCTTTCCCTCTGACTCAGGAGAGCAAATCAGAATGCAAACAAGTGAAATTATTAGAGTCCTCAATCTTCTCTTATGTTTCTTTGATTTTTTAATTTCATGATTATCTGTAAAACTTTTCTAACTAGAGTTGAAAGTCAATCACTGCCCTACAGATGTCTAGGAGGTAGCTATAACCTAGTCCCAATTACATATGCTCTTGCAAGTGACTAATTAAACTACAGTATGCTTCTTTTACTTTTAGCACTTTACTAGAGATTTTAATAAAATTAAGCATTCTTGATCAATTTAACTTTTTCTTTTACTTTGTATTTATACTCCAAAGTAATTTAATGTGTCACACATACATAAGTTGATTTAAAAAACAAAACAAAACACAGTTCATATAAATATTTTTACCAGCTTTGAACCAGGGAATTCTGACTGTTCAAGTAGCCCAACTTTATTGTTACAGCAATAACTTAAGGTTATTTTTATTGATTTAAAAAAAAACACCTCAATGATTTATCACGTTTTTTGGTTTTTCTTCTGATAGTTCCTATATCTTTCTCACCAATATTTTTGTTTCACTACCTACTCTCTGTCCCATGGACATATACTTAAGTTCTTTAAAATGTTCCATCTTCTATTAAATTGAATAATTTTGGTGTCCTCATTAATGAGTTGATGTAAGCATAACTGACTTACATGTAGTATATGTTCAATAAATTGTGGCTATCATTATTATTATTGCTCATCAGTATTTGTTCTTAATATTTACTTCTGAAAATTCTCAATATTCTTTTATATTTTGACTTTTAAAGGTACTGGTTTTGTTAGTTCTCTACTGCTGTTA